GAGAGAGAGAGAGAGAGAGAGAGAGAGAGAGAGAACGTGCGTGTGCGCGACTGTATATGAATGGGAGAGACAGCGTGCGTGTGTGCGAGTGTATGTGTGTGCGCGCGCGCTAGAGAGAGAGTGAGAGAGGGTGTGCGCGAGTGTATGTGTGCGCGCGTATGTGTGCGCGTGTGCGTGTGTGCGTGTGTGTGTGTGTGCGTGTGTGCGTGTGCGCGTGTGTGTGTGTGTGCGTGTGCGTGTGTGTGTGTGTGTGTGAGAGAGAGAGAGAGAGAGAGAGAGAGAGAGAGAGAGAGAGAGAGAATCAATCAATCAATCAATCAATCAAACCAATCAAGATCCTATCTATTCGATAAGATCTGCGCAGGGTCGTGCATTTTTTGAGTGTATAGTCGTGCATTTTTTGAGTGTATAGCGAATATGACAACACACACATACATGATCACACACACACACACACAAATGCCGCTTCCTTTCTTTCTTTTCTTTTTCTTTTTTCTTTTTTTCTTTTTAATTTGGACCATTTCTCGATTTATGCGTGTCATCCTTGCGCAGGGTCCATGCTAATCTTCAGTCTCTGTATCGTTCCAATTTTAACGGATGTCCCGAAGGACGCCGCTTCCTTTACCTCTCCATGTATTCGATGATACAATTTGTACCACGAGCGGATAAGCAAACAAAGGCAACAGAAGGGTCCAACCGGGAAAGGAAAGTTAACATGACAAGGAACGAAAACCCTCGGGACATCCTTTTTAGTCCGGAATGAAGCAATGAAGATCAGCATGGCCTCTCCGCAACGATGACACGCGTAAATTCAGAAAAGAACCAATCGCTCGCTGAATCCGCTTCATTCAGGCACGATGTTTCCCTGCGAATGTGTGTGTGTGTGTGTGTGTGTGTGTGTGTGTGTGTGTGTGTGTGTGTGTGTGTGTTGTCATATCCGCTGTACACAACTCCACATGTGTGTGTGTGTGTGTGTGTGTGTTTTGTCACACCCGCTGTACACAACTCCACGAAAAAGCATGACTGTGCCAGATTGTTTCGTCGGACTTCCCATGTAGCTGGCTTTTAATCCCAATGGCGCGCATACGTATGGATCATCATCTCCTGTCATCGTCAAACGGTTAAAGAATTCAAGGGCCAAGGAATACATACACGTACACCGGGGCATACTCACACAACTTTCTTGAATTGAATGAGGCCGGCCGTCCGTAGAAAAGCCTAGTATGAATATGATTATACATATATTCTTATGCTCATGTTCGTCCTCCTCCTCCTTCCTCCTCCTTCCTCCTCTTCATCCTCTTCCTCCTTATCATCCTTGCCATCCCTCCGGCCTCGTCTTCTTCTCTCCTGTCATGAACTACTCGTGCTCAACCACTGCCCGCTCACTTTTTATTATCAACGTATGATGGAATGATTGTTGCGTGTTTTTTTTTTTTTTTTTTTTTTTTTTTATAGAGAACTGACGGTCGCTTTCCCCTATCCATATACAACGATGTGATTTACAGAAGACTAACGCCGGGAGTTTGGGGTGGGGGGTCTATCCCTTGCTAATGACGCTTGGATTTTCCTTCCTACTCTGTCCCTGCAAAAATCACATTTTGCGCCGTGAACGCATTTCATCCCCGGGCAGGGGGGAGGAGGGGGCGCTCCGAAGAATCATCAGCAAGAGGAGGAAGAGGACGAGGAAAAGAGGAAGAGGAGGAGGAGGAGGAGGAGGAGGAGGAGGAGGAAGAAAAAAGAAGAGGAAGAAGAAGAAGGTGGAGGAGGGAGGAAAGAAGGGAAGTGGGAGGGGACCTGGAGGAGGAGACAATAAGATATGAAGAGATAGAGAAACGTGCTTTTGAGATGTGGCACTTCCGCATCGTCCAGGAGGGAGTGTGATAGGATGAAAAGTAGAAGGAAAAGAAGGGGTAATACTAAGAAAGATGTCTACTAGGAGTGGAAGGAGGACAGCCAGGAAGAGGAGGATCACGAACAAGAAGATGACGGGCCAATTTGCTGCGTCGGACGGTTGAATGTCAACAAGTGAGGTGTG